CCCCCCACCCCCCCCCCCCGCCAGCCTGCCTACCTGCCTGCCTTCCGCCCCCATTTTCTCTCCACCCTTCCCAAACCCCATTTTTCAACCTTCTTCAGACTCCAGCCCCTCTCTTCCCTGAATAGCCAAAGCTATTCATTCTCGGTCCCCGACTCTATCTCCACACCACATCCAGGTCCTCCCAAACTCCTCACTTCTCACGCCTCCGGGCCTCTAACCCCTCCCCCAACACCCTCTCTCGCCTCAACGCCCTACCTGCGCTTTCCGCCTCTTCAGCGCCGCCGCGTCCAGCCACACGCCGCAGGCCTCCTCCTCCTCCTCCAGGCCTCTGCGCCTCATGGCCGCTGAAGAGACTAAGACAACGGGATAACGGAGCGGAGGTCCGTCTGCCTCAGGGAACCGCCATAAGTGACTCCGCCGACGTTCCAATCTCGCGCCAATGCTGGGTGCGGAGCTACGCCGCGGCCGCCCCCGCTCAGGCACCGCCCCTAGCGTCAGCTCCGCCCCGGCCCAAGCCCCGCCCCTTCCCCAAACCCTGCCCGCCTGACCCCTTAATGTTACCAAGGCCCCGTTCTTGCTGGTTTTCTCATTCAGAAGTTGTATTCCAGAACTGTGCTGTGTGAACGCGTTCGCGACACTGCACAAGGAATGCACATTTTCTTTTTGCTGAGTTAGTTGCACTTTCTTACTGATAACTATCAGGGCTCAGGGTTTTCCTTGTTTTATCGCTGAATCCTCAGGAACATCTCAAAAGGAAGAGGAGAGGAGGCTCTGGTCCGCCACCTGCAAACCTGGGGTCCTCAGTGCTACCGTAAATGGGTTACTTTTGTAATTCAAAACAAGAAACAAAACGCTAAGTATAACTATGAAACCTCATGGGAGAGGATTTAGAAAACGTTAAGTAGAATGAAAACTAAAAATTTGCAGTCAAGAATTAGCTTTCAGTATTGCTTTTCTCGCTTACTGTGTGGCCTTGGATTTTAAAGAGGATCAAATAAGGTTTGTGAAAGTACTTTGTAAATTCTGAGCCCCTCAGAGATGCAAAAATGCTGGCAACCATAACCACAATTTCCATAGATGTACTATATGTATAACAGGATATTTTAGCAGTGGAGTGATATTTCTTATTCATTCAGAATTTTTTTGCTTTTCTTACCTGTACTTCCTAATTTTCCTTCACTGTACATATATTACCATACATTGCTTATGTACTGTGGAAAAGACAATACTGTAAACATTAACATATAACAATATCATAAAAGTTAACATATAAGATCTTCCTTGATTGAAAAACCAAAAAGTGAAATCTTTGTCAAATCATATATTTTTAAACACATTCTTTTAACTTCTAAAACTTATTTAGTAATATAACTGCCCCACCTTTCCTACCAAAAAAAAAAAGTTCACATATATAGTGAATAAGACCCCAACCCCACCCCCAGGCAAAGATAAGGCAGGATCTGTGCCCTCCTCCCTATGCCCACCCCCAGCCTCCCCCTGAAAACCTCCTCCAACACAGTGAACAGATTCAAGGGGCACCAGGGCTCCCTCTCTAGGATAGGAGACAAAAAGCAAAGAGGCAGCTCTTAACACAGTCACTTTATTGCATCCAGGACATCAGAGTCCAGACCACTCCTAATTCCAGCCGCAGTGAACTCCTTCTTCCATACCTCTTGGCCTTTGGACAGGTTTTCCCTCTACCTGGAATGCCCTTCCTCTTCTCCATCTGTAAACTCCTATTCACCCTTCCCAACCCAAGGCCCTGAGGGTCCCAGGCAACACTAATTATTCCCTCCTCAGTGCTTCCCCTGACAGTTCATTCCGATATTAAAGCCTTTACCATCCTGCATTGATCCACGGAGCCCAGTCAGTGGCCTGCCTCTGAGCAGAGGCCCAAGAAACACTGAACGGATAAACACTGAATCATGAACAAGGGAACCAGGAAAGACTGGGAACAGGATGTGTGGGACATAGAGGCCAGAGCTAGGAGGGTCAGGGCTCACTGTCTGGGACAGTGACTGAAGAGGTATGGGGCACTGGATGGGATCCATTTCTAGCTGGCACAATCTTCTATCTTTGGGGGCTCTCTGCAGCACCAAACCTTCAGGCTGGGGTTCAAGAATGGTAAGATCCTGCACACATTTTGGGCCTGTCCTTTCCCTGTCCACCAGTGAAATCTGGGTAGAGGGCAGTCGCTGATGTTTCCTCTATCTCTCAGCTCAGATCTGACTCTGACCTAAATCCCAACTTCACCCCTTCCCAGATAATCTGGAAGGCCCAGGCCGGGGTCTTGGCCCCAGCTGATCCTCCATACTCACCCCTAAGTGAGAGGCAATGGGGGGAGGCAAACCAGGGTGCCCCACATCTTTCTCTTTCCCCCTCCC